AATCTGTCTAAAGTATGATAGTACAAGTGATAACTATTGAGTAACCAACTGATAACACCATGTAATCTATCACCGTTGGGTGTATGTTAATCTGTCTAAAGTATGATAGTACAAGTGATAACTATTGAGTAACCAACTGATAACACCATGTAATCTATCACCGTTGGGTGTATGTTAATCTGTCTAAAGTATGATAGTACAAGTGATAACTGTTGAGTAACCAACTGATAACACCATGTAATCTATCACCGTTGGGTGTATGTTAATCTGTCTAACGTATGATAGTACAAGTGATAACTATTGAATAACCAACTGATTACACTTTAAGGAACGATTATAAAAATAATGACGTAAACATTCCTCGAAACCTCTAATGGTAGATAATAAACAGATGTTTTTAGCAATATTGTAAATAAAATTCTAAGTAGTGTTTCTACATATTACATATTAATTTAATCGACCAGAAATGCTTACACGTACGTACGTAACAATATACTGTTTTAAGCTTTGCTGTATTTTACTGTTGCAGGAGCGTAGCAAGACTCATAAGATTCCGGGCTCAACTTAGGGCAAGGGGGCTTCCCGATATTTTACCCAATATTTATCCTATAATATATTATTTCACATAAACTACAATTAAACAGTTCAACTTTAACAAAATTATAAATTAATAACATTCCTACCTTCACAGTTCATCAGAAGCGGAGTTTCATTGATTTTTCTCTAGTAAAAGAACGGTAAGCCTACTTAAACCTGTTTCCTTCATTGACCTTCTTAGATGATCCTGGAAGTGTAAGAAACTTGTTGTACGCACATTAGAAACGTACATGGTTGTGTAGTGTAACAAGTTCTTTTAAAGGAGTTTAATTTTGAAAGTTCAAGTTCCAAACATGCTCTTAAAGGTGATAACTGTTCTGTTACTTTTAGCAGATAGATCTGTTCTGTAAGTCTCTTTAAATCTACTCTCAGAGTCACCCAGTCACCGGTGATCTCTCAACTTATCAAAGTGACTTTTTACTTGAGGCACTAGCTTGGACTTAAGTTTTATTTCAGTCCCTAGGTTGTGGCTACTTTTACCGCTGTTTCTTTTAGTTCAGTCTTACTGGCTTCTAAAGTACGTTACTTCATTACGATAGTTCTGTAACAACCCAATTATTTAACTGGAGCCGTTTAGATTGAGATATCAACACACTGTAATGGTTTTGTATCAGTTACGATGAGAAACATAACGTTATTTAACGACTGCAGATGTTTTAGTAAAGAACAATAGAGTTTTTTTTTATAGAACAAAACCAACCAAACAATCATGACGTGAAGACCAACGGGTGAAGCATGCTTTGTTTTTATTTAGTGTTATAACAGTATTATATCCCACCTTGTAACACTGAGTACAAAAAAACACGTAGAGTTTATGAAACAAATTATACATTTTTATTATTTTCAGCAGAAATGGAGCAGAGTCGAGATTGTGTTTTACATTGTATGTATTTATCACAAGGTACTGCTATTAGCATTCTCGCTTGGACACCTGAATAAACTAAAATAATAAATGACACATAACGATAAAATTGGTATACAATTAAAAACATTTTTAGTTAAAGGCCAATCTATGGCCACCAAAATCCTTCGACGTTACAACGTCAACACGGCCTGGCATGGCCAGGTAGTTAGGGCGCTCGACTCGTAATCTGCGGGATCGAATCCCCGTCCCATCAAACACGCTCGCCCTTTCAGCCGTGGGGGAGTTATGATGTAACGGTCAATCCTACTATTCGTTGGGAAAAGAGTAGCCCAAGAGTTGGTGGTGGGTGGTGATTACTAGCTGCCTTCCCTCTAGTCTTACAGTGCTATTTTAGGGACGGCTAGCGCAGATAGCCCTCGTGTAGCTTTGTGCGAAATTCAAAACAAACATAGAACGTGAATATAAAAAGAAAATTGCAAGAAGTCATAGTGTAATATTTAACTAGGTCACGTGATCTGTGTATTTCTTTAGAATTCCTGCAAAAAAATATTTATTTGGGTATTTTTTTAACTTTTTAATATTTAGAATTTTTTTGTAATGCCATTATAGTTAACTTTAGGCTTATCATCAAGGAGATCCTTAACCCTTTAAGCCTGGGCGTGATTCGTCCCTTGTGCCCCTGTTTCCACGCCTTTGTACTGTTGCTATCTTGTTAACTGCTTTGATGTGTTTTGCTGTTGTTATCTTGATATTTGCTAATATGTGTTCATTGTTGCTATGATGCGTTTACTGTTGTTTTTTTAATATTATGTGTTTTAGTGCGTAAAAATAGGTTCCGATAGGTAGACCTCAGTCTACCATAGATCCAATCCAATTAAAAGTAACTTGTGAAGAGATATATGAAATGCTAATTTAAGAAAATATAAAAAATAAAATTATGCGACTTATACCTCCCCCCCCCTCAACATTATTTAAACGTCCTTTATTTTCCAAGAAATAATAAAATAATTGTGGCTTGTAAATTGTCGTCATGTTTTTTTCAGTCGACAAAACGCAACCGTGGTTACGGGTGAAACCCCTTACAGCTCTCAGAGGAAGCCACGTGGTCAAGTTTAAGCCGTCCGACCCCTATGTGTG